ATAATTCAGGTTATTAAACGCTGGTAATTTGTGCAGCGATCAAACCGGTAGCGACGTTCACCGGAAGTCATATTCGAAAATGGGTCTGTTTCGCATCACTTCAAATTAGACGTCAAGCCATATCGTCACAATTCCATTGTTCAAAATTTACAAGAGGCCCTTCATAAACTGACATTCGGCGAGAACACGGCGACAGTCACTCAGTCGCAACGGTAGGGCAAACGACAAGTGCCATTCTCCGCCCATAGAGGCGACGACACGTTGCAACTTTACACGATGTCTCTTCGTCGTATTTCTTTGAATTCGAAAAATGAAGTTCTGTCGATCATATTTACTGCTCCCTCTCACTCACCCTTCTTTACATCTTCGTGAAACGTTTCGTTTCAGCTGCCTATTCTTTCTACTAACCTAAGCAGTCGTCCCTCTAAGTTCAAAGGTTAGACGGCACAGTCGTATTTCACTATAATTATCTCAGATACTTATGCGGATTATGGCCTCCTTTGATTTCATTCGGGTTCGGAGTCACAGTGTTCCTCGAAGGAAGAGTTTTTTCAGGATATCCGTTAATCGGCCATTTCAGGGTTCAGGATAAGCATTGGCAGCCGCCATAGACGAGTAGTAGTACAGCTCTGTACTGCTTCGCTATGAAACTCCCTACTTTGATCGTTTTGTTTAATTTCTGCTATTAGGACGCTTGAGGTTTGATTAAAAGGAGGCGTCTAATTATAGAAACTTTCAGTTCTTTGCAGGGACATGATAGAGTTCTGTATCCGTAAGCACGTGCTCTTATATACCAATTCAAAAACCATCGTTTGGAAACACCGTCATGCAAATCTGATAAACGTACAACCTGAAGATCGCCACAGTATACACCGCACTATGAACGCCGGTCGCTCAGTCGGTGGGGCGTCAGACCCACAATCGAGACGACTTGGATTCTAGCCCATCAGGTCACTCGCCTTTAATTCTTTCTGAGGTTAATAAATTAATATCGATCAATTTACAAACTATTACATCATATAGTGTTCCACAAGCTCGAGATAGAGCCTTAGAAAGAACAATAACACAATGACGGCTGATGGCAGAAAACGAACATTAGCGCGCATAATAAGTTTCATGACAGAGATGAGTGCCACAAACGGTTACACATTTTCTTTTAGTTCTTCGGTAGCACATTCGATAAGCAGCAGAATGACATCAACGGCTTATGCACATCATTAAGCAGATCTTACGTTCTTCTAGCTTATGATATATCATTCTATGTTCAGGTGGGAGACGGCTTCCACAACTTCCACCTACTTTCTTCTGAGATTAATGTACGCGATGCAGCTTTCATTTTGATGCAAATGTATGCAGTCGAAGTTACCCCGACCGCAGCCAACAGCAGTAGGAGTTTGCATCATAAATGCGACTACAATACATTTTCTCGGCATGCCAGCTAGCTGCTAAAAAAAGATGTACGTTTCAACATTGGCACTGTTTCCCGTCAAGATCGTATTTTGACCCCCTCCCTTCTGTTTGAGTTGTACATAAATAGAATAATCGGGCGCGACGACGTCAACAACTATATCAGCGTATGAGATACAGAGACGAGGCAACAGTTGTTTGCAGACAGCACTGTTTTGTTAACATTTTCCTCAGTTGATCTGCAGAGTTCCTAGAAAGGTTGGCAGCTGAGTGCTATCTCGTTCTAGTGCTCGTAGCGCTCCGCAGATACACAGAGAAGCAGTGAAACAGATGGAGAAACTCACGAAACCTCAGGGTCATTATTACTAATGACGGCAAATGGAAGAGACCGAATTGGCATATCGGAATGGCCAGCGTCATTCTACAGTAACTAGCCTGAACCGTTGTTTTGTCTTAACAAAAATGAATCTGCAGACTAAAGTTTCTGTGTCTAAATCGATATTCAGCCTCATGCTCATCTACGGTCAGCAGTTGTGAGCCATGACTGAAAAAATTCGATCTCAGACAAACGGCTCAGAAGGGTTTTCTTTGAAGAACCGCCTAGCTGACGCATCTCGACGTGGTCAGAAATACAGATTTCCGAGAGAGCTTCGATGTACATCAAATGCTTCTTCAGAATGAGAGGTCACAACTGCGGTGATCTGAGCACCATCTTGAGAATGGTTCCAGATAGCGACCGACCGAAGACTCCGGGGTCTTCGAAGAATGACCTGCGGAGAGTGTCGTTGGGTTATTTTCTGCCGAAGAACAAACGCAGGTACAAAATCGGGAACGCTGGGTACAACACGTGACGTGTCTGCCGTTCGTAACGATCGAACATAATTAATCTGAGTTACTGTGCTGTTTAATTTCAGTTACCCCCCCC